TACGATCAAGTTACAGAACATCGAGCATAAAACCATCTATGCTTCCCTTGCAATGCAACAGATAGAAAAAAAACCAATATTATTCCAAACAATAGCCACACCTAGAGGCAAAGGCCAAATCTCACCGTGGGAAAATTCACGCACCCCTTCCTGCATAGCGTTCCATTATTGGATCACACTTTCAGACGTCAAAAGAGTAAGACCGTACTTTTAATAGCTATAAGCAAGGTATAATCGACCTCCTTAAATAGAAGATATTCTATCGTTATAATAATAAAAATAATAAAAAATAAATTCGTACGAAAAATGGTAATAATTTTAATGAGGCTGTTTTCGTGCAGGCTAGGGAATGTCACTAGCGACCGCCATCTTGAAAATGAAAAACAGGACATGACTTTGGAAAATTGAGCAATTGATTTCAAAGCAGACACAGTATGCTAATGTTTAGTACTTAAAACTTTTGTTTCAATATTGTATCGCTCTTACTGTGAAGGTAAAAGTACATGATCCATTACTGCAGGATGGGTTAGGCACAAGGAGCAATGAATTTGAAAATACTAAAAAAATATATCCCATATATGGTCTTCTGAATCTGTTGAGTAGACCTTGCTGTACGTTTTACGATGTCATTTTTTAGTGTTGAGTAGGAATACAAACATAAAACGTTACACAGTAGACGATAAAGCGTTTAATACAGGTTTCAGAGGACAGAACTAACGCTATGATATCGATGATGATGATGATGATGTCAAAAGCTAATTTTAACTTTTAACCGCTTACTGATGATGATGATGGTGAAGATGGTGATGATGATGATGATGATGATGATGATGATGATGATGATGATGATGATGATGATGCCTTAACATCGACGAGCCCCATTTTAAGGACCTAAAATTTACAACGTAACGTACTAATCACCCCTTATGTTCCTGCAACCCCCTCCCTTTGGCCCTGCCTTTCTGTTATATTCCTTACCTCCACGTACTAGTTATATCTCTCCCTCTCTCTCTCTCTCTCTCTCTCTCTCTCTCTCTCTCTCTCTCTCTCTCCACTTTTTGCCTTCGTATTTCCCCTCTCCTAGCCTTTTCGACTCGTTGATTGTGTTCACCGCACCCTTCCGTTATTATATATCCGCCACACTCCGGTTATTAATACCCTTTTTTTTTTTTCTCGCTCTCCCCCCCCCCCCCCTCTCTCTCTCTCTCTCTCTCTCTCTCTCTCTCTATCCCTCTTTTCCTTTCCCTCTCTCTGCCACCTCTAGCCCTAGTGTTTCTCTTTCTCTGGCCTTTCCGATTTGTGTTCACCGCACCCTTCTGTTATTATATTCCTTACTTCCACGCACCTTTCCACCCCCCCCCCCCCTCTCTCTCTCTCTACCACTTCTGGCTTTAGTGGTCCCTTCTCTCCGGCGATTTGTACTCACCGCTCCTTTAAATATTCAGACATTTATGTACGCACTTTAGTTTTTATAGCCTGTGTATATGATGATGATGATGAAGATATTTCCGATATTGTCCAAATCACAACAATACGTAACTTATAGTGAACACTTTGTTGCTGTGGCGTCATCACTCATTTATTTTTTTCTCAAATACTATGTTCCTGATGAAGCCTTATTGGCGAAACGTTGAACTGTGAAAAATATATTTTTTCTGGAAATACAACAAGGTCTTAACTGTTTTAATACCTTCTTTATACGTCCTCAGTCCTAAAACAAATTTTCTGGCCTTAGACGTAGTAAACTTGTACAACAACATATCGCATCAAGAAGGTATTGAGGCCTGTCACTCAGCCTTCAGAAGCCTTACACCCTATAACGCACGTCAAACTTTAGAAATTTGCTAACTGTTGAAACTAGTCCTCACCCTCAATAATGTTTCATTCAACAATCAAAATTTCCCCAACTGACCGGCACAGCGATGAGTACACCGGTGGCCCCTTCCTATGCCAACATTTTTATGGCTGAATTTGTGCGCAAATACGCCTCCCACCTTCCCAACCAACTTTTTCTACTTAATCGTTACATAGACGACATTATCGCCCTGCACAATGCTTGCACTGAAACAACCCAAAAATTTCTCACTGATCTCAACAAGGCGCACCATAGCATCAAATTGACCTTTTCCATCCCAGGAAAATCCACTTCTTTCCTGGACATGTCCCTCCTCATCATAAATAACCAAATTGAAACAGACCTGTACAAAGAAACTACTGACTCCAATCGTAATCTCCCACCTTCTTTAAACCATCCCAAACATATATTCCGTTCTGTGGTCTATAGTGGTGCCCTTAGACTACGCCGTATTTGCTCCAGAGAAAATTCTTTTAAACAACGGATAGAGGAATTCACAGCCAACCTTCTTCACAGTGGATTCCGCAAAAATTATATTACTCCCATTATCGAGAAAGTCAGCAAATTGAACGGTACAAACCTTCTGACGCACAAACCCCTTAAGTCCAAACAGAAAAGACAATTTTTCGTCACTACTCATCACCCAAAACTAACCAATGAACATAAAATCCACGGCCAACATATAAACATTTTGAAAAAATGAGACAAAATGAAAGCCTGTTCCCCAATCCCCCTCTAGTTGCACTTCGACAGCCCCTAACCTTGGCAACCTCTTCATTCGCACTAGAGCAGTAACACCCACACCCTCACCTCCGATGAGTCCATGTACCCCGCCTCAAAATTATCCTTGAAAAAAAAAACTAGATTCAAAACTTGTGCATATATGAAAGTGACCAACTTTGTAGAAGGCCCCCATTTTAAGAGAAAACTTTCTCACACATCACCTGTGACACCAAAAGCGTTATTTACCTCATATCATGTAAAGCCTGTCCAGCTCATATGTAGGTCATACTATCACCACACTTAGAGCTCGGTTTAATAATCATAGGTATTCAGTACAGAAAAACTCCTGTACACCAGTCGCCAACATTTCAAGAGTTCTGGTTACAATGGAGCCTCCGATCTGCAGCCTCGGGGTATTTAAATAGTTCGAAATCCTACCAAAGAAAAACTAAATCAAAGAGAATCAAGGAGGATTTGGAACTTGGGGTCTCACCAGATTCTCACTCGATTTAACATAGACGAACCACATTTCAGGGACTTGACATGTTCTATGTAGGGTACTAATCACATTATTATTATAGACTTGTTACGATACTACTACTTCTACCATAGTTACAGTGATAATTAAGATAGTTTGTCCATCTATGTCAGATGTTGACAAATGTGGAGAAGATTAGTCCTTATAGGTGGGTGGAAGAAATTTAGAGCTGGGCGAAGAATCTAGTCGGGAACCGATTCCCAAGACTAATTCTACGAAAGAAAAGTTCCGACTCCTTTTTACGTAAACCAACCGTTACCAGTTACTTTAATCTGTAAAATCTTCTTTTTTTATTTTTAAATTTTGGAAAAATAAAGTTTTGATGCTTCGTATGTAGTGTTCCGAAATCAAGGTTTTCCTAAATCCTAAAGATGTCCGGGGCTACCATGTAATCACAGGAAGAAATCCCATTATTGGAAAGTAAGTAATTGGGTTCGGAGTCGATTCCTACGATTCCAAACTTCCTACAACCGGGAACCTCGCCGCCCAGCACTACAAGAAATGCGGCTGAGTTAACTTGTACTTTTCTACCTTGCTTTGAGCTCGTTTCGAGCCGACATAACTTTCCTACCTGTTTGGAATTTAAAGTTTTAAAAGTTTCTTCCCACATGTAGATACATGCCACTACTACTAATACTACTACTACTACTACTACTACTACTACTACTACTACTACTACTACTACTACTGCTACTACTACTACTACTACTACTACTACTACTTACATTTACATTAAAATTAATAATGTTTTATGATTTGACGGAACATATACATAATATTTTATATCCATACCACTTCTTGCCATTGCATTCCCTTTCTCTGGTCTTCCCGATTTGTGTTTATTGCTCCTTTTGGCGTTATGTAACCTAGATGCGCGCACTTCAGTTACTATTGCTATTGTAGTATTATTTGTTTGTTCCTGATCAAGCCCAGATCGGGCGAAACGTTGAACCTTTATAAAATTCTCAGAAAAATTCTACAAGTCTCAACATGTTTTTATTCCTTCCTGTTTTCAATGATGATGATGATGATGATGATGATGATGATGATGATGATGATGATGATGATGATGATGATGATGATGATGATGATGATGATGATGATGATGATGATTTTATTTTTGGTGGGGGGTTCCTTAATGGTGGACTCCACGAAGAAGTCTTCGAGCGAGAGTGAAGCTCTTTTTCGGCTCCAGTTTCATTATACTTAGAGGCACCTCCACACGTCCGAATAACTCCATTCGAATTGCCATTGTTCCTGGACATTCAAACATATGTTTGACATCCTCCTTTTCATAGTTGCATCTTCTGCAACGTGTACTGAGCTGTTCATTTACAAAGTTTTTATAACATCTCAAGCTGCAATGATGGTTGGACCTCAGTCTCGCTAGCTCAACCTGGTCCCAGAGACATGTGATATTTTGTTCCTGCTTATTGGAGTACCCAGAATACACATCTGTCAGGTGTTGGTACTTTGCTCGGCATGGTGGGTCTCTGATTTCCCTCTTGATCTCTGGAAAGACTCCTCTGTATGTTGTCGGTCGTCCTCTGTATGTTGTCGGTCGTCTGTCTCCTTCAATCTCTCTGGTTTCATTGGCTGCTTGGTCTGCTGCTTCATTTCCTTTGCTTCCAACATGGCTTGGAACACAATGGATTTTTATTGTGGCTGTGGCTTCACTGAACTTGCGGCGCAAATCATTTATGTCTGAGCTGTTGCCTAGCAGTCCCTTGCAGAGGGACTGACTGTCAGTCAAGATCAGCACATTGGTTCTACAGTGGCAATTGTCAGCAATCTGTTGGGCCTGGCATTCCTCGTCATACGATGATGTAAGGAATGCCCCTTTAGGTTTAATGATTTCTGTTCGTGGTGGTTCATCATTCAGTATCACCACTGCTGCTGCTCCACTTCGTCGTATTCTGCGAAAGCCGATCCATCAGTGAAAAATGTCACATAGGCACCAACATCCTTGATCACATCCTCGGCATCTCCACGTGCCTTTACAGGATCATCACCTTTGCTCTTCACACCTCTCAATTCTGTCCGGATTTCGATTTCGCCATTGGGTCTCCCATGGACACGCTCTCAACAGATTGATCGGCCATCGATTCTCTGCTTCAGGGGGGAGGTAGTCTGTTAGGTCGGTGCCCATCCGAAACCAACTTTTCCTACTGTTTTAGGCTTGACTGCTTGATCAAGGGCTTTCTTTCTAGGATGGTTGTCTGGCAATCTCTTAGCCATCTATACAGACTTGAGGCATTTTTTCGTATAGGTGTTGTAGTGCTCAGTTCTGGTCTCATAGCACAGCGCTTCTGTTGGTGTTGTTTTCAGCTGACCTGATACAACGCGGAGGGCTTTGTTTTGTATTCTGTCAAGGGCCTTTGTACATGTCTCACTCAGCCAAGGTGGCCACGCAGGGGCAGCAAAATCCATCTTGCTTTTCACAAACATTTGATATACCTTCTCGAGAGACTCCTTACCCCAGCTCTATTTTGAGTTTTTGAGAGCACCGATCATGTTCTTTTTTAAGTTGCACTTTTGGACACTTCCTCAATGTGCTTGTTGAAGGTTAGCTGTCTATCCAGATAGATGCCCTGACGGCGTGGAACGGGTTTGAATTGAATGGATGGTATCTTTTTCCCTTCGATCTGAATTATTGGTTGCCACGTTGCCTCCTTCACCCATGTTTAGAAGAAGCACACCTCACTCTTGGTTACATTCAAGGTAAGTTGATGAGACGCTGATGATGATGATGATGATGATGATGATGATGATGATGATGATGATGATGATG